ATATATTAAATGGCACTGTGTCTGGTATTATTGATCCTACTAGTCTTTCTCTTGACATCAGCTTGTCACCCCTCAGAAGGATCACTTACTTACTCCATTGTTCCACACACCTATACTTGTGATATAATCACACACCCAGAACTCATGAGTGGCTCAAGAGGAAGAATACCTTCCTAGCAAGCACAAGATCCTCAGTTCAAACCCAAGTATGGCAAAAAAGAAAATGACACACATATAAATAATGTAAAAACTGGTGAAATCTGAAAGGATCCTAGTTTAGTTACTAGTGTAATGTTGACTTACTGGTTTTGATAATTATGCTATGATTACAGGATAAAGCATAACCATATTGTCACTGGGGTACACTGGAAACTCCCCATGTTATTTCTGTAACATTTATGCAAGTTTAAAATTATTTCAACAAAGATTTTTAAGGGCTGGAGGTGTGGTTTAAGTGTTAGGGTGCGTCTTTAGAAAGCACAAGTCCCTGAGTTCAAACCCTAGTACCCCAACTAATGAAAAAACAAAAAAAAAATTAAAATTGAAGCCCAAGAGAGGAAATCCTTATAGAACTGGCCATCATATGCCTAAAGTTTAAAAGACCAACAATAGTAAGTGTTGACAAGGATGTGCACATGAACTCTTATAAACTGCTGACAATTGTAACTTGATATTCACTTTGGGAAAGGGTTTGGTGATATCTGTTGGTGTTGAATGTATGTATATCACATGAAGCAGCAATTCCACTCCTAGGCATGTCCCAATTTATATAGATGTTAAACTCAGGAAAATTATAGAGGTAGAAGTGGGGGAAGAGGAGGGATAACAGTTGGGAGGGCATGATGGGGACTTCTGAGAGTGTTAACATATTCTTTGTCTCGACCTGGGTGAGGATCCCATGATGTTCATTTTGTACTAATTAATTGAAATGTCCATTTTGTGCATATTCCTGCTGGTGTTATATTTTTGTGGTGAAAAGAAAAAATGCTGATTGCTGGTGGCTCATACCTATAATCCTAGCTACTTGGGAGGCTGGGATCAGGAGTACTGCAGTTTTAGGCCAGCCTGGGCAAATACTTTGTGAGATTCCCATGTCCAAAATAACCAGATCAAAATGGACTGGAGGTGTGGCTTAAGCAGTAGAGTACTTGCTTTGTAAGCATGAAGCCCTGAGTTCAAAACTCAGTCCCATAAAAAAGTTTGTTTTTTTAGAGAGAACAAGAAACGTAGAAAGGGCTGGCAGAGTGACTCAAGTGATAGAGTGCCCATCTATAGAATACAAAGCCCAGAATTCAAACCCTAGTACCACCAAAAATAAAAAAGAAAGAAATGTAGAAGGACCATCATCTTTTCTAAGTTTACAAAAATTAGTCATCAGGTATAATGGAATTACAGTGTCCATCCAAAGGTGGACGGGATACTCAGGTGGGGTGTGGGTGAGAGGAAAAGTTACCTTCTGCTGTACAGGAAGAGTAAACTGAAGCTCTTTCAACTTGTCTTAATGCCGAGGTATTCCAGAGAGCTAGTTCCTAGCTATTCTAGTCTCATTTTGTAACATTGCTGGTAGCTAAATTACAATATTCATCTTCCTACCTGGCTGTCTCAACTTTTTACATTTATCTCAACATTCTAATTTAACTAAAAAATAGCTTCTACGCTTTTATTATGAAAAATTACTTTACAAAATAAAAGATAGTGATCATTATACTCAACCATTACTCAGCCTCATTCCAAATTCTCTTAGGATGTTTACTGTTGATATCTATGATATATATTTACAGTTGTGATCAGTATTCATGTACTTCTCTTAACCTTATTTTCCTACACATATTTTTCACTTTGAACTCACCTATTTTTCACAGTAGGCAGCTGCAAAGCATTTTGTCTTAATTATCTAGGTTGAACCTTTTTGACTTAATTGATTCAAATATTCACAGTAAATATTCACAGTAAATATAGTTCCTTTGTATCTATCTCTAACAGGCCAGTCTGGACCATTTGTTTCACTTCTTCCTCAAAGTTGCAAACCCCCTATTTTCACCAGTTATGTCACAATAGAGTTCATGAAATAAAGGCTAGAATGTGTGGGTGCTCCCAAGTCATTTCTTACCAATTTATACACTGCTCTTTTTTTTCTTTTGGTAACTGGGGTTAGTACTCAGGGCCTTGTGCTTGCTAGGCAGGCGCTCTAACACTTGAGCCATGGCCCAGCCTACACTGAATCTTTATACCTTGTTTCACCTTACATTGTTCATTTATGTAGTGCCCTTTTCATTCTATCACTATAATTCAGTTATTTCGTTGATCAGTGGCTGAAAGTGAAAGTATGATAATCTGTGAACTCCATGTTATGATTCGCAAACATTTTTTTTCTAGTGCTGGGGACCAAACCCACAGCTGTGTACATACTAGGCAAGCACTCTACTACTGAGCAATAACCCCAGCCCTTCTATTACCTTTTATTTTGAGGCAGGGTTTCCAGGTAGGCCTAGGACTTGTGATCCTCCTATTTTAGCCTCCCCAGTAGCTAGGGTTACAGGTTTGGGCCACCATGCCACCTCATTACTTTTTTTTTTTTGCTTGGTGGTACTGGGGTTTGAACTCAACTTGAGCCATGCTCACAGTACCTTTTTCTTCAGTTATTTTTCAGATAGCATCTTGTGCTTTTTCCCAGACTGGCCTCTAATCAGGATCCACCTACCTCTGCCTCCAATGTAGCTGGGATTACAGGCTGGTCCACCAATCCAGCTTGTGTTTTGAGTTAGGGTCTCAATAACTTTTTCCCCTCCAAGCTACCTCTTAGCTTGGCCTCCCAAGCAGCTGGGATTACAGGCTAATACCACTACACCAAGCCTCATTTCTTCTTTAATACAAGCATTCAGGAAAGGGGAACAAGAATCAAGGCCATATATTCTTCAACAAATGTAAATTTCACTATATTCATCTGAATCTAGTCTCCCTCATATAGATGCTACACCTGGCTTCTCTCCTTGTAGTACTCTCATCATTTAGACTAGAAAATCCTTTCCCTTTGGCCCAACACCATGAACCCAACGTGAGTCAACATTTTCAAGATATGAATATACAAAATATTTTGCTATTTATTTAGTATTTATGACGCACATAGTTATTACTGAATGTGTTTTGGAGTTTAAATGGATAAAGTATCAGATAATAAGGATCTGGGAATGTGTCTAGGCTTTCAAATTATTTTATGCAAACAACTCCCTTCTAAAATATTTACTTTTTAACAAGAATCGTGGATTTTTTTGTGGCACTGGGGTTTGAACTCAGGGCCTTGCGCTTGCTAGACAGGCATTATAACTCTTGAACCACACCCTGGCCCCATTACATTACTCTTAAAGTTAAAGCGGGCCCCTTATATAGTCTACAGCTTTGGTGCCTGCTGTATACATAGTCAGTCTCTTCAGCAGAAAAACCACCAGAGGGCGCTCGTTCCCTGTCGAGCTAGTCTCTAGTCTCCTTCACTCAGAAAATCCAGGTTAAATTTGGCTTTAACATTCAGGAAGTCTTTCACAGTTAAATCACAACTAACTGTTGCTGCCTGTTACGGGGATAGATTCACAGGGGAGAAATAGGCATGGTTCCTACTACGAGACTTAGAGCACAGCAAAGGCTGAAAGTAAGCACAGACAACAGTAAAGCACTGTAAGAGTTTCTAGCTCTGTGGAGCTGGTTATTTTAATATTGGCTCCAAGCTTCGGAGCCAATTCATTTGAGCAACTCATTGAGATCTCCCGGACAATGATCCAGTCCCCAAAGGGGTTTTGTCAGAGCCAGGGACCTCCTTTGGGCTGGCTCTATTCGTCCGCTCTGCAAGACTCCTTCTCCCGCCTTTTAAAGGATTTCCTTCAGTTCTCTCATAGTTCACCTTTGCCCGCAGGCCGACACTCGGTTGTTCTCCAGGCCGAGGACAAGGGATCAGCAAAAACAATCGATGATAGCTGGCCCCGCCCATTCTTTACATGTTTAAAACCCGCGGGCTTTTCCTGTTCTCAAAACCCAGATTTCCCGTTCTGATTCTCGCGACAGTTCCAAGACCTCGCGTGATGCTCACTTCTCGTCTTTCGAGTTTGAGACCAGGGTGCCTTCGGCCAACCTTGTCAGAACCACTCTAGCCAGGCGTGGCGTTTATGCGGTTCGGGAGCCCCTAAGAGAAGGGCTTGGCGGAGTTCAGCTGAGCTCTTCCAGGGCAGGGTGTCGGGCCGCCTCTGAGAGCTTTACTCTCCGGGGACCCAGTGCGCATGCACACTCTGGGACCGTGGTCCTAGCCGGGGGCCTCTTGGGCGGAGCCTGACTTAGTACCGCCCGGCTCGGGCTGCAAACCCGGTTTCAGCAGCTACTGACTTGTCTGTGATGGGCTTCTGAAGCTGCTTTGGGTAGACCCGGGCGGGGCCTGGCGAGCCGAGGTTTGGCGGCTCGGCCTGCAGGGATGGTCTCCTCCCCACCCCCAGCCCGAAGTGCCACGGTGGCGTTGGTGGTAGCCTTGAGACTGAGTGCCTCTGGCCCTGCAAGTATCGCAACCATAACCTGTAATCCGGACCCGGAGCGACGCCCGCTGAGAAGGCGCCCCGCCTGCCTCTCCCTGTGGCCGCTAGTCAGTTCCGACCTCTAATTACCCGGCTCATCCGCTGGGTTGAAGCACCTGCCGGATGTGGGTAGAGAAGAGTCCAGATGTGGAAAGGCAAATGTAAACGCCGAGACCGGTCCGCGCCTCGGTGGAGAAACTGGGTGGACAAGGCTGCAACCGCCCCCGGGGAAGCCGGCCCTGGGCTGCAGGGAGAGGACGTTGGTTGGCCTTGTCCTCAAGAAGCGCCCAGACATCGACGTAAAATGACTTGGCACCACAGCTTCTTTCTCCTCCCCATAATGTAGCTGTTCTAGTCGCCCCCAGGAACAGTAAAAGTCGGATGGTGTCCTGTTTTTTGAACTTCCCAGCCATCCCTCTACCCCCGCTCCTGTCTCCAGGCCTCGCACCCTTCCATTCCCAGCTTTGGTGTCCGATTACGCTACTCTGCGCTCTCATTGTGATTTTGGGCTAGGCTAAAAGGAAATGTCCCGGGAGGGTCCCTGTGGGGCTGCATAAAATTGGTAACCTCAGAACTAGGGGGAAGGAGGGTATACGACGTCGAGGGGCGGGGAGAAGGGGCGGAGGAGTTGCTCTCTGAATCCTATTCCGTGGACTCTCGGAGATCCACCGGCGGGAGCAGAGGCGACCAGCGGGTCCATCCGACTGTTTGTGAGCCTCTGCTCGCTTTCCGTCGCCTACTCTTTGGGATTGGAATCATAGCTGCTCCGAGGGGCCTAGTCCAGGACACTAGGTGAGTCCTTGGGCCGCAGACCACCTGCATGGAGCATTTCCCCCTCCCTTATCCCCCCTGCCCCTTAACAACTTCTGGAGCCATCCACTTTCATCCATCTCTAGAGTAAAGGAGCACCAGAGTTGGTGGTTTATGGAGGTGGTACTGGTGGTATTTGTGTGTATGAGCGCCCGTGAGCTTTATCACCTCGTCCTCTCTTCTCACTCTCCAAGCCCTCCAAAAACAGCCCAATCACTGACACAACTGGATAACCCCTAGGGGATCATGGGGGAGGGGAGTCTACTTGACTCCGAAGTAGCAGGGAAGGGGGCAGTTCTAGGGTCAAGCTTTAGTACAAGAAGCCGTGAGTGGCTTTGTTTCTGACCTCCTGACCTGACTTCCCTCCCTGGCAGGGTGCCACCAACGCGCTGATGCCCCGAGTGCTCGCAGGGCTTCCAACTAACCATGCGGCAGCTGCCTTGGCGCTGCCCCTGCTACTGTTACTGCTGGTGGTGCGGACGCCGCCCCCGACCAGCGCAAGGCCGTCCTCAGGCCCCGATTACCTGAGGCGCGGCTGGCTGAGGCTACTAGCCGAGGGCGAGGGCTGCGCTCCCTGCCGGCCAGAAGAGTGCGCCGCGCCGCGGGGCTGCCTAGCGGGTCGGGTGCGCGATGCTTGCGATTGCTGCTGGGAATGCGCCAACCTCGAGGGTCAGCTGTGCGACCTGGACCCCAGCGCTCATTTCTACGGACGCTGCGGAGAGCAGCTTGAGTGCCAGCTGGACGCAGGCGGCGACCTGAACCACGGAGAGGTGCCGGAGCCGCTGTGTGTCTGCCGCTCGCAGCACCCACTTTGCGGTTCTGACGGTCGTACTTACGCCCAGATCTGCCGCCTGCAGGAGGCGGCCCGCGCTCGGCCCGACGCCAATCTTACAGTGGCGCACCCAGGGCCCTGCGAATCGGGTACGCACGAACCGGGGCCCTTACCCCCAGGATTTGGGCTTCCTTCGGGCACTGCTTTCCGACCCTAAACAGCATTGATCTGGCCAGCAAATCGAAAAAGATAAGGCCCAGAAGGCCTTGAGTCCAGTGTCAGACCCTGCTCACGCTCCTTGTCGTCAGAGGTCGCTGCCTAAAGTGCAGGTCCGAGCTTTGTGGGGAGGTTTAGCGTGCTGAGTCGCCTAAAAAACGCCTGCCCGGACTAGCAGGGACCCACCCTCCGAGGGAACAGGCACATAGCCAATAGTTGGCCCAAAATTGAAAAGAACCCCAGACTTCGCCAAGATCACTGGAGCCCAGGCAGTAAGAAGGGGTTCCTGTGAGATGCCATCTGTTAACCCAGCCTCTCCTCTCGGGCATTTAGCGATTAGTGAAAGGGTAACGCTTTTCCCTCCTCTCATCCCTGGGGGCTGGGGGCCGTTCAAGGCTGAAGTTTTCTTTGGCCGCTTTCCTAACCTCCATTTCCTGAACACCCCCGCTCGCAACCCCCGTCCCCGGCACCCCCCTCCCAGTCTGGCTTGGCTGAGGCAGAGTGAAAACAAATGCTACAGCAGGGGACCCCAATAACCTATCTCTTCTTTCCAAGCCTGGTTTCAGGTTCTCCTGTCTTTGTCACAATCCCTCCCTGCCCCCAGGGGCCCTCCTGGAATGGAGGGAGAGCTGCTTTTTAGGCCTTTGGGAACTGGGCCTGATTAGAAAAGGGGAAGGAGGGGGGAGGGAGGTGCTGGTTATAAGCACAGCAGGAAAAGGGCTGGAGGGTGGAATGACCAGAGAGCAGTCTGGGACAAAGTCTTGCTGCCAACCTGAGGTGTGGGTCTGTGTGCTTGTTTGTGTAATTTGCATGGTCCTCTGCGTTTACATGTATGCATATGTCTCTATAGCTGTGTGTACTTTCTAGATGTGTGTGTACTTTCATCTTCATTAGCATGTATCTGTACATGTCGTGTTTTGTTTATGAATGTGTATTGACCTCTGTATATGTTGTGCTCTGCTACAAACATGTCCACAATAACTTTTGTATTGTGTCCTTGTTGGGCTGGATGTACCATCCTGTTCTCAGGCCTCCTGCCTCCACCCCCTAGAGCCCCTGATTGTGTCTCAGCCTCACAACATTTGGAATGTGTCGGGGCAGGATGTGATCTTTGGCTGTGAAGTGTTTGCCTACCCCATGGCCTCCATCGAGTGGAGGAAGGACGGATTGGACATCCAGCTGCCAGGGGATGACCCCCACATCTCTGTGCAGGTAGGGTCAGAGAACATAGGCTTCCTTCCAGCAGCCTTGGGCAAATCAAAATGACCTTACTGACTACACATCTGGCTCCAGTTTAGGGGTGGACCTCAGAGGTTTGAGGTGACCAGCTGGCTGCAGATTCAGGCTGTGCGTCCCAGTGATGAAGGCACCTACCGCTGCCTTGCCCGGAATGCTGTGGGTCAGGTTGAGGCCCCAGCTACCCTGACAGTGCTCACACCAGGTAAGGGGGAGCTCTGAACTCTGGGAGTTGGGAGGATGTGCTGGATTAGGGCTCTTGAATGTGCTTATAGGAAACAGTCCACATGTGTGCACACACAAGCACAGCTTTCCCACAGACTGGGATATATGGGCATCAGCAGCCCCTCTCCCCTGTTCTCTCTCCTTTGCCACCTGTGTTTGCAGACCAGCTGAACTCCACAGGCATCCCCCAGCTACGATCACTGAATCTGGTTCCTGAGGAGGAGGCTGAAAGTGAAGAGAATGAGGATTACTATTAGGTCCAGATCTCTGACTTGTGGGGGTGGGTGAGTGGGTATAGTATCTAATCCTGCTCTTGAGAAGACCTGGAAAAGACCTGGAAAGAGTGAACAAGGTTCCTTCATAGATTGGTTTAGTGCTCCTCAAAGAGTGATCATGGTAGTGGTGGTAGGGGAGAGACAGGTTGGAGGAGGAAGGAAGAGAGGGAGAAATGAGGATGGTGGCCTATGCAAGAGATGCCCTGGCCAGATGGGCTAATCCAGGCAGAAGGTAACAGCTGCCTGCTAATCCCCAAGGTGGCTCTGGCTGGGACACACACAATGAGGCAAATACCAGGATCCTCCTCTTCCCAGGAGCCCTCCCTCCAGCCCTGCTCAGCCAGTCTCTCCTAAGTGCCCTTCTCCACAAACCCTGGTTCCTGCTGTTTTGCTGATCCGTAACCTTTGCCTAGCCTCAGTTTACTGTCCTCAAAACTCATCCTCCAGTTTTCTCTCTTGCCCAAGACCCAGTTGTGCCTACAAACAGCAGTCCTTTTTGCTGTTTGCCATTTGTTGTACAAGAGAACACAATGGAACTGGTTTAGCTCAGTGTAGTAAGAGGGGTGGGGTAGCTCCATATCATACTTCGCAGTAGACAAAGCCTACCTAGTGCAAGACTGGGCACGGTGGGCACCAATAAAGATATAAATAAACCACACACAGACAGTTCTTGCAGATGTGCACATGAACACGGAGCACCCCTGGGAGGCCTCCCACACTAACAGGACTCTGACGTCTAGAAGCTGCAGGTACTGCTCTCTAAGCACATGCCCAACACATGGGACAAAGCTTGGACTCTGACCTACCCTGCCCTCTAAGGAGACAGCCTGGAGCCATCTGGTTGGAGGGAGGGCATCCTGTCTGTTCTCCATTAGGGATGGCATAGAGATTACCTGTCCCGCTATTCATCTTGCTCTGGCAAGATTCATCTTGCTTTCCACACAGAGTGGGGAATCAGGTCTATGTGGGTGGGACCCCAGTATAAACGAATAAACTGGAGTAGGGGAGAAGTTGGGTCACCTGTGTGGGCCACACCCTTCTCCAGCTCCCATAGGAACCTTTCCATTTCCCCACTGAACCCGAAGTCATGGTGAACCTGCCCCAGTTGTGACCTGTTCTGTCTGACTTGGAGTCCCGCATAGAAATGCATTCAGGCTCCCTAAATCTCCTCCCACAGCCCGGGGAGGAGAAATAATTGAAGGAGGGAATGAAAATATAAGTCAGCAGGCCAAGATGCTATGTGTGGATGAGGATGGCCTCCTACGCGACGCGCCTGGGCTCCACCCGGAGCTGGCGCCACTGCGGGAGGGGACTGCTCTAGGCTCAGCGTCTGAGTTTGTTCTCTGGGGCCCAAAGCAGGGAGCTGGGCCTCTTGGGAGGGGCGTGGTCCGGAACCCCATCCCCAGAGTTTGGCCGCCCCCCTCATCTACGCACTATTACTCCATCTGCTTCTGCCTTGCGGCGGGGCTTCCTTGCCAGAAGATGGTTCTCATTGATTTCCCAACCCTGGCTGGAGCCTAGCGGCCCCGGGAGCCGCACACGACAGCGCGAGTGCGCTGGCTACTTAGAGCGAATTCCAAGGCGACCGCGGATGCGGGAGCCGGGGTGTTGGGAGGAGGAGGGGGCCTAGTTCAGCTGTGCGACCCTAGGAAGGTCGGCTCCACGTCGGAAGAAAGGACATGAATCTGAGTGCCTGCATTAGCCGGGAATACGCCCCTAGCTTGTTCTTTGCCTAGCTGGGCTCCAAAGCGCCCTCTGCGGGCCTATGGGTCCGACCCCGCCCACCTTCAGAGCTGAGACTTTTCGCCCAAACCCCCACCCGACCAGAAAGGGTCCCCTCCTGAGGAATCCGAACTCCTCCATCGCCTTTGCAGACGTTGTAGGTTGGGAGCAGCCTCCTTGAAGCCTGTTTCCCCCTCCGCCGCCCTGCTGGCTCAGCCCGGCAGCCTGGAATAGGAAGGACCCCTGCTGCCTACCCACCCTCCCCAACACTTCGCGTCTGCTACTGCAGACGGGGTTTAATAATGTCGCTGGAAAGTGACACGCGATTTATTATTAAAGTAATGCGGGCGCGGGGACGGGAAAGGTTTAATAAACACGCTGAGATGCCGAGGATTATTCACCGCAAATAAATGAGAGCGCGGGCGGCGTTTTAATAAATAATTTCCCGCTGCTCCCGGGGGAGAGAGGGGAGGAGGACGGGGAAGCTGAGCGGCTGCTGGCACGGGCTTGGCCTCCCACGGGTTTCCAAGGCTTCCCCGCTAGGTTGCTCCCACCAGAAGTGTGAGGTTCCCGGAGAGCTGACCGGAGTAGCCCAGGCTAGGAGGCGGGAATGCTCTGTCCTCCGCACTATCCCCGCCCCTGGGATTTTAAGTAGATTGTGTTAGGTACAGCGGATTCACCTTCTTCGGGCTCCGACTGGGAGATGGCGAGTCAGGGCCCAATCCTGGCAGTTAGCCGGGACCAGCCCCCATTCCAAGCCGAGGGGCCGTGGCTCTGGGCTGGGCCGTTCTTCTCCCAGCTTTTGACTGGGTGTCCGTCTCTCCCCTATCCAGGGCAGAACGCGAGGAGTAAGCCAAAGACGGCTGTGTGTACAGGCGTGTAAGTGACACGTGGGTGCGAACAGTCCTGACCTCAGCACCCTTTGGGGCCTGTCGTGGTGAATGGAGCCGCTGCTTCTGGTTACTCCTTACTGTAAGGGAAGGCTCTAAGTTCCTCAGTCGAGCTGGTCTGAATCTTAGGTCAGGCTAAGATGGAACTTAGCCTAACCTCTGGCTCGCTGGTGAACTTAGGTAGATTTGAGAACTGGAGTCTCCAGGGGTACCCCCCCCCAACAGAAGCCTGGAGGCTCGAGAGGACAAACCTGACTTTGGAGAGGCCCAATTTGGCAGACTTTGGAAACCCAGGACATGTTCACAGTGCTGGTGGTGGTGAGGCGGGGAGCACTTACGGGTACATCTGCCTATGCAAATTTTGTGTCTTAACCTAAGGGGCCGGGGGTCGGGGTAGGGGGAGGATCTGGGGGAGGGGAAGAAGCGACGTCCCTGTTAACACTGGGGAGTACAGGAAGTGGGGGACGTATGCCATCTAGTGAATATTTATGGTAGTGGCAGCCAGGCTTGAGCTAGGGACTTCAGAAAAATCTGGGGTTGGGGGCATGGCTCAAGTGTTAGAGTGCCTGCCTAGTAGGCACAATGTTACTGAGTTCAAACCCCAGTTCTTCAAAAAAAAAAAAGAAACATCTGTATTAAAAAGGCGGGCTAGGGGCATAGATCAGGTGGAAGACTGCCTACCATGCGTGAGAACCAGGGTTCAATCCCAGTACTAAAAATAAACAATAAATTCTTCAATTTGTATTCGTTTAGTGTATGTGAACATGCAACACACGTGTAGTATACATATAATCTGTATATTACATCTATGAATTGTAGATGAATAATATCTATTATATGCTTATTGTGGTTATATGTGTGCGCATATGCTTGTATGCAGTCTATGTAAGCTGTATGTATAAAATGTATGTAGGTGTGTTTCATTCTGTATGCATGTGGATTATGTATACCCATGTATATGAATGTGGCTGATATGTAGGTATATGTATCTGTGCACATAGCATTATATACGGATGTATTATTATGTATATTACATGTATTTCAAAGCATGTGCTTCATTATGTGTCCTTTTTCTATACAAACATTTTTTACATACCAGCACTGTTATAGGGCTGTGATAGATCATGGGAGAAAAATAGTCCCTGCCTCATGGAGCTTACAGTTTGGTCTAATATGTGTGTGAATTTATAGGATTAGTTACATATATGTGTAACTGTCTGCTTGTGTGTATGTGAGAGGCAGACAGGCTTAAACTCTGGTGGGCCTGGATATTCCCTGCTTTGTTACTCAAAAGCACAGGTTCCATCATGCAGAACTTTCTTCTGAGTGTACATACAGCTGAGGGCAGAGAGAAGGAAGCTGGAGACAGGCTGATTGCCTCCTAGAATATATTTTGGCTGTTTCTAAACAAGGAAAAGCTATGGAAGCCCACTTACAGTGAGAAAAGTTAATGCAAGTCAAATCTCATCTCTGCTCAAGACAACCTTCAAGAAAGGATCATGGGTAGGGAATGGGTTTGAATGGGCTCTAGGAGGCTGGGCATTGGGAATAAGGCAGTGTTGGGGAGCACTTACAGATTGACAAGGATCAGGTCTGGGAGCTAGTGAGCTCTGCGAGTCAGCTGCAGATAATTGGGGGAGTTGAGGAAACTTAGGGAGGGATGGGGTGGTAGGATCAAGAGGAGCCTAAGGAGAGTGATGAGTTCATCAGGAATAGAGTTGGGTGGGGGGAGCAGAGGTAGAGGCTGTGGCTGCAGAGATATCAGTCTTGGGTGGATCCTGGAAACCAGCTCAGACATGTCACCCTCCCTCTGTACTATCCCTTTCCTTCCCCATTCTGGAGCCCCCAACCCTTTCTAGCCCTTTCTCTGTTCAAGCTGAGTCCCAGATATGCTGGGGACAAAAGAGGAGATCTTAGGTTTCAGGGCTTGGCATTTCTTAGCTGACTCACTGATGGGTGAGGTGAGGCAGGCTCACAATATCAGTGTCCCATGAAGCTTTGTCCTAGTCACAAGGGTCAGTGCCTGCCTTCCTGCCATTACAGTTTCAGTCTGGTTCAAGGCAGTGGGCTCATACAAGGGTACGGCATGCACTTGGAAATGATCACAGAACATCTACTCAATGCACACACTCCCAAGGCTGAATTAAGGAAGGTGCTTCCAAATCATGTCTTCCTTCTTCCCATCATTTTTTTAAATTGATTTTTTGTTTTTCCTTCTTTCTTTCTTTCATTTTCTTTCTTCTTCTTTTTTTTTTTTTTGGTAGTATCGGGGGTCAAACTCAGGGCCACGGGTTTGCCAGGCAGGTGCTCTACCATTTGAGCTACATTGCAAGCCCTTCTTCCGTCCTTTTGCTGGAAAACATCTAGAGTTGAGAC